GACACATTTCATCATTGACACATTTCATCATTGACACATTTCATCATTGACACATTTCATCATTGACACATTTCATCATTGACACATTCCATCATTGACACATTTCATCATTGACACATTTCATCATTGACACATTTCATCATTGACACATTTCATCATTGACGCATTCCATCATTGACACATTCCATCATTGACACATTTCATCATTGACACATTAACTGAATAAACAATGTTAGTTGAATTTCCAGTTAAGAGAGCAATTTCACTTGGACTGGCCTGCGGTCGGGGAGTCTTCAGTAAAGGCGGATGACATCACTGGCCCAACCATGAGCAACGCTGATGTACGAGAACCACACAGCCGTGCAAAGCTTGGCTTTAACATGAGTTTCCATTAACAATATATCATACTTCAACAAATTGAGCGCTTTATTTTTTCTAATTAGTTAACGTGCGATATGGGCTAGCCATTAATACTAGTAAATAACTTCCCGTCCTCGCCCACAACACTGGATGTTATACTGGCTTTCGTCCCGAGGATGAAGAAGCCTATGGTTGCACTAGTATAAGGTTGACCCATGGTTGAACTATATAAGGTTGACCCATGGTTGCACTAGTATAAGGTTGACCCATGGTTGCACTAGTATAAGGTTAACCCATGAGAGGATCACTGTTGTGTAGTTTGTTGTTCGCCTGTGGATGTAGTTTGTTGTTCGCCCGTGACGTCACTGATCTCAGTGACGTCACAAGCATTAACCAATCACCGAAATGCGATCAAACCAGTCAATCAATCCGTCATGGGGGTGACGGGATTGTTTACGTTTCTCGATCTCAGAGACGTAACAAGAAAGCTGAACTGAAAGACGGAAATCCTCGTGGGTCAACCTTATATAGTTCAACCATGGGTCAACCTTATATAGTTCAACCATGGGTCAACCTTATATAGTTCAACCATGGGTCAACCTTATACTAGTTCAACCATTGGTTAACCTTATACTAGTTCAACCATGGGTCAACCTTATATAGTTCAACCATGGGTCAACCTTATATAGTTCAACCATGGGTCAATATCCTGAAAAACTGACTAATCACACCCGTCTCTTGCCTAGTTGCCACTACCAGCATAGGCAACTACAACCTCGATGTGCTGCGCCTCATGTGACGCCCTACTGGAGGTGCAGGGGTCGGGGGTCCGCCATCGGAGGCAAGAACGCCGCGCAAAATTACGCCGAGTTTTCTGCCTTGAACTATTAGGTTTTACTTGCTTTTATACTACTGGCCTATTAGCCAGTACCTATTGGGTTTACAGTCTTGTATACTATACTAGTTTTACTTGCTTTTATACTACTGGCCTATTAGCCAGTACATATTGGGTTTACAGTCTTGTATACTATACTAGTTTTACTGTCTTGTATACTACTGGCCTATTAGCCAGTACCTATTGGGTTTACAGTCTTGTATACTATACTAGTTTTACTTGCTTGTATACTACTGGCCTATTAGCCAGTACCTATTGGGTTTACAGTCTTGTANGAGTTGCAAGTTCGAGACCTCAAAATGCTGTGAATGTTCTGCGATGTTAAGAATCGGCGACACAAAGAAACGCTGAAACCGCTATTGTTATAATATATTGAACTGATGAAAGTCAAGAGTTTAGTAATACTTACGAGCTACGATAAAAAATCTACAACGTAAGTTAATCAGTGAATTATTTTGAATATCGAAATCATGCGTTGCTGTCAGGGCTCCGTTAAAAGACAAAATTATCTCCGTAGTGTTATTGTTGTTGACGCTCTTCCGGAGCCATTCTCATTCTGTGCCCCCGGAATTGTTTTACCTTCGGATGGGTTTTCCGTCAATCATTTATTTCAATTTTCATCTGATTGAGTGCGGCTTTATCCATCAGTAGGTTGCAGGGTCTTTTTTCCTGACAAATTCCGATATTTAGTTTTTTCCAATTGCATCTATCGAGAAATTTCTGATGGCTTGACTACCTCATTATATTTCAAAATATACGGAAAATGAAAATTTAATTTTTGCACCGAAACGTACAAATTTACTAGAATATTAGAATTTTAGGCCTTTTTATCCGCGGACCTGGCCGTTTTTAGGCCATCTGCTCGGGCTGGTGTGTTGTGCCGCACTCAATAATAATAATAATAATAATAATAATAATAGCGGTTTCAGCGTTTATTAGGCCATACGCCTGTCGCCGATTCTTAACGTCGCAGAACATTCACAGCATTTTGAGGTCTCGAACTCGCAACTCACTGCTACAATTCTGCTGTGCTTAACCGCCCGGCCTCCTCGCCGATTCTGAACAGAAACTGGCGCACAGAGCTGGGATCGAACCCGTGCCTCTCTGCGCCAATCTTGGTACTCTGAACTGTAACCACTGGGCCACCCTGCCATGCCAATGTATTAAAATATGAGCTTAGCTTGTTCAATAAAACTTTCATGTATGTTACGTTGAATTTCCAGTTTTTAGTACACATTATATTAGTGTTTTGGCAATGCTTATCACCCCTTAATAACGCACGCTTAATTCTCCGCTAATAATAACAATAATTTCAAAACTGAAAATAAAAATATCTTGTTGGTTTCTAACGATCAAAAATTCAAAAGATGTTACATTTGCATACGAGTCCAATTGACGCAGTGCTAACACTATTCAAGAGTATCATTTGCATTATTTGGATGGAAGGAAATCAAAACTTGCAACTGTGTCATTAGTTTATTGCATGCTTTTTAAACCTTTGAGCTTTGAACAATCTTTGAACAAATAATTTTGACAAAAAAATTCGAATTTTTTGCATTCAAAATATATTCTAAATGTAAGAAGCTCGCCCTAGACTGAATTCAATGAAATCACCTGTCAGTGTAACCATATTCGTCCTGACGTAGTCTCATCCAAAATTGTTATGACCAACTGTCCTGCAAGATCAGTTGGCCCCAGTCTGATCAGATCTGGCCTGAGCAATCGTTCCTGTCTTTAGTATTGCCATTGTAAGATCCTCCTATTAGGTGGGTTCCTTGCAGTCCTCTTGCGCCTCTCATTTGTGCCGGTCTGAGTACCAGCGTCTGATTTCGGTTGATTATCAGGGTCTGATTTCGGTTGATTGTCAGCGTCTGATTTCGGTTCTTCTGTTGCTGGTTCCTGACCAGGTTCGGCCTGGTCATCAGTCCCGGTCTGACTAGATCCTGTTACGCTATCCGTGTCTCTGTATCTCCTCGAACTCGTCCAAGCACCATGCTGACTATTTTGGTATCCCTGAGATCCACGACTAGGTTGACTAGGCGTTGGCACACAGTTTGGATCACGTTTAGGTGTAGTTTTCTGGAAAATCCTCCTATTGGGCGTGCAACTATCCATCCTCTTATGTCGCTCAATTGCACCGGTCTCATTAGGTGTGAGCTGGCTGGCTACTGCAGCAGAACTGTTGCTCGTGTTGTTGCCTGCACCAACTTGACTTGTCTGACTATCTTTTGCCTGACCAGGCGCCTTAGCCTCACTAGCTTTTGCTTGACCAGACGCCTTAGCCTCACTAGCTTTTGCTTGTCCAGACGCCTTAGCCTCATGATCTTTTGCTTGACCAGACGCCTTAGCCCCATGACCTTTTGCTTGACCAGACGCCTTAGCCCCATGATCTTTGGCTTGACCAGACGCCTTAGCCCCATGATCTTTGGCTTGACCAGACGCCTTAGCCCCATGATCTTTTGCTTGACCAGACGCCTTAGCCTGACCAGGTTTTAATTGACCAGGTTTGGTCGGCTCGCTGACCACGCCCCTTGTGTGCCTTGCGTCCGTCTGACCAGGTCCGTTGCCTTCGTCAGACTTACCAAGGCTTTCACCTTGATTGTGGTGGCTGACAAGGTGGGTTTGGTTACTGAAAGCCAAATCTTCGGGTTGGGGGTCGGGGGTGTCTGGTGGGGGAACGTGGGGCTTGGCGGCGGCGCTCCCCAGCAGCGCCAGCGTCACCAGGACCCCAAGGGCCGTCCTCAGCAGTTTGATCTTCATTTCTGATGAGAAACGTCAAGAAATTCAATGAAAACGAATTCGAAAAATTAGTTTACAAATTTATTTGCATTTATTGGTACAGAATAGAGTGGCGAGATTGCACTAGTAGTCCCAAGGTGGACTGCGGTAGAGGCCCTGAGAGGAGACAGGGGATGGAGTATCTTTAAGGAAAGAAGAATGAGATCAGTTTGATTTATAAAGTGAGACTGGAGCGAATGAACGATGAACGTTGGGCACGAAAGATGTAAATGTGGAACATGAAGGTGAGCAAATGGGCACGTAGATGTCGGGCAGTGGTGCGTAAGTGTGGTATGCATGAAGCATGGGTGCGCCATGGACCCGCTGGGCTAAAGGACGAATGGGCGGTGACAGTACGGGGTGCTATTGGAATAGAGTGAGATGAAAAAGAGTGGAAAAGAGAAATGAATAAGCGAGTGAAAGACTATGGGCTGAAAGTTTGGAAGCAAGAAATGGAGGGAAAGGACACTCTATGACTGTATCAGATGTAAGCGATGCCAAAATATGAATGTATGAATGATGTTAGTACATTGTTTCTGTTTTCTTCAGGATGTTGCATAGCGAAATGTTTTTTTATGTTGAAAATAATAAATATAATATAATAATATATATGAATATAATTTTTTAATGGGACTTTTTGTTAACATACGAGTGTGGCGTAAACTTTTACGTTTGTGACGCTTGTAAAAGAGCTTTCATGCAGCGTGTATGACTGATTTAAAGGTCGTGACCTCAGGTCAGCTTGCACCCAATTACAATTTCACGATACACAATTTTTAGATGAAGTTCCAAGTAATGTATGTAAAGTAATTAATTTATGCTGGGAAAATAATATGAACAAAACTTATTTCCCCCACCGAAGAGTTCTATTTATTATTATTTCATTACTATTTACCGAAATCTGTCATTATTATTAAATTTTAGTTGAAAATATATGCACATAGCCACTAAATTTGTCGTCAATCCGAGCTTTCTATTTATGTTTTGTTATATTCAGAATGCGTCATGAAACTTCACACTATTTAAGGCTTATTCAACAAAATACGGCTATTCCATCTTCTTGTTAGTTCATTATTCAGAATGCCAGGATGGAATTCAAGACCATGAGACAAGCAAAGCAGTCGGTACTTACGGCGTGCGTTGTGACGAAGAGCAAGAAGAAAGACGAGCGCACCCCAACGTCTGCGCCGCGACTGACTGCCGTGGCTGCGGTTGCCGGCTTTATATACTCGACCCCGCGCACGCACACGCGCTTCGTTCGCATCGCCGTCACGTACACGCGTGGCCGCACGTACACACCATAAAGCTCAAATTTTATACAGATGCACGCACACGATCCATAACGTGCGCAAGAGTTCTTCGTGCATGCATGCGTACGTGTACCGTCCTAGCGCAAGGTAGGTTACGTACAGTCCTGTAGGACACGTGCGCGCACGTAGGGCACATAAATTAATGTTCGACACGTACACGAACCAAGGCACGAGCACACACAATAGTAAGGTTGTAAACAGGGTTAAGGAGTAAGGAGAAGGGTTGCAAACAGGGTTAAGGAGCAAGGGGTGGTGAGCAGTGCGGACTAAGAGGTATCAACTGATTATGATAACTTAGAAACAAGGACTAAGTAGTACGAACTAAGTAGTAAGAGCCAGTAGTATTTAATGGGATTAAGTATCAGGGACTAGTAAGCATGTAGGATTAAGTAGCAGCTACTAAGCAGAGAATAGAATGAACTGAAAATGACTAAGCAGCAAGTGAAATTAAGTAGCAGGGACTAAGTAGTAAGTATTATTAGTTGTTGTCGGAAATATAGGTATTATATTGGGTAGCTAAAAGTGGTCATTAAGACTGAGCAGTAAGCAGCAAGCACTAAGCAGTAAGCACTAAGCACTAAGCAGTAAGCAGTAAGCAGTAAGCAGTAGGCACTAAGCAGTATAAGACTCTGGACTTGCCACACACTCAGCCAAGACTCTGGACTTGCCACACACTCAGCCAAGACTCGGGACTTGCCACACACTCAGCCAAGACTCGGGACTTGCCACACACTCAGCCAAGACTCGGGACATGCCACACACTCAGCCAAGACTCGGGACTTGCCACATACTCAGCCAAGACTCTAGACTTGCCATATACTCAGCCAAGACTCTGGACTTGCCACACACTCAAAGAAGACTCTGGACTTGCCATATACTCAGCCAAGACTCTGGACTTGCCACACACTCAGCCAAGACTCTGGACTTGCCACCCGTTCAGCCAAGGTTCTTAGCGCTTGCCACCGGTTCAGCCAAGGTTCAAATGACTAGCCACCCGTTCAGCCAAGGTTCTTATGACTTGCCACCGGTTCAGCAAGGTTCTTATGACTTGGCACCCGTTCAGCCAAGGTTCTTATGACTTGCCACCCGTTCAGCCAAGGTTCTTATGACTTGCCACCCGTTCAGCCAAGGTTCTTATGACTTGCCACCGGTTCAGCCAAGGTTCTAAATGGACTCCATGTCGCAGGTTCCAAACTTCTATGGATGGAATGACCTAAGATGAATGGAGAACTGATGGTGGTGGTGGTGATGCAACTACTTCCCGTGATGGTGGTGGTGGTGATGAGACTACTTCCCGTGGTGGTGGTGGTGGTGTTGGTGGTGGTGACGAGTGCTGCTGCAAGCTTTAGTGGTAATAAGTGTGTGTACAACTTTAGTCGCTCAACAGCAGTTTTATAATGACTCGGAATTCCTGAATTTTTGTCAAATATTTCTTTTGAATTTAATGATAATGATAGCGTTTAATGTGCTGCCGTAGTGATGAAGTGCTAATTAATACTTGCGATGAATATTCATGATATTGTGTTGCTTATTCATGATATTGTGTTGCGTTGATTATGAGTTATATGAATACTTNACACAGCGTACAGAGGGCAGTAGTGTCACCCCGCAGCCTGCGTGTTGTGGGAACACAGCGTACAGAGGGCAGTAGTGTCACCCCGCAGCCTGCGTGTTGTGGGAACACAGCGTACAGAGGGCAGTAGTGTCACCCCGCAGCCTGCGTGTTGTGGGAACACAGCGTACAGAGGGCAGTAGTGTCACCCCGCAGCCTGTGTGTTGTGGGAACACAGCGTACAGAGGCAGTAGTGTCACTCCGCAGCCTGTGTGTTGTGGGAACACAGCGTACAACCAATCACAGAAATGCGATCAAACCAGTCAACCAATCCGTCATGGCAATGACGGGTTTGTTTACGTTTCTCAATCTCAGCGACGTAACAAGACAGCTGAACTGAAAGTTGGTACTTCTCGTGGGTCAACCTTATATAGTTCAACGATGCGCGGAACTACTCGCGTGTGTCATCAATATCCTGAAAAATTGACTTATCACACTCGTCCCTTGCCTAGTTTCCACAACCAGTATGGACAATTACAACAACCTCGATGCACTGTGCCTCTCGTGAAATGTCCTACTGGAGGTGCAGGTGTGAAATGTCCTACTGGAGGTGTAGGTGTGACATGTCCTACTGGAGGTGTCATCGGAGGCCGGAACGCCGAGTTTTCTGCCTTCACCTATTAGGTTTTACTGGCTTGTATACTACTGGCCTATTAGCCAGTACCTATTGGGTTTACAGTCTTGTATACTATACTAGTACTCGTGTCACTAGCTAGTAAATGACGCTAGAGCAGCTGCCGGGTATCGTGACTCTCGACATCAGATATCTTTGCCTAAATGATTTCAGCCGTGGGTTACTTCCGCAAGTTTTAACAAACTTTAATTCTGGTCCAATATTAGTTAATTTAATAGCGGTCAATTATCGACAACCTATACGTAATCTGCAAACTACAAGAAATAATTTAAAATATGGCCAATTTTTAACGAGTTTTTATCGACCTCAAATCGATTTATTGCAACGCATGGCTATAATTAAGCATGATTTTGGCCACCGAATGTCTAGCCGTGAGTATTTTAGGAGAAAACGCGTACTGAATATTAAACGATCAAAATAAGTTCACAAAAAGGTATCCAATAGCTACAGAATGAACAATTTAACTTACAATGATTGCAGCTCTAACGTAATTGCGTGATGGCAAAGAGGTTAGACGGAGCAGAGTTGCACCTGGAGCTTCGTGCAAAGTTATAGTGAAAAATGGCATGTCTGTGAACTGAAGTTACAAAGAGTATCGCGAAGAAATTGCTGTTGCATTTAGTGTCAAATCTGTTGCGTATATTCATCCCATCTATTGTTTTAAATAATTTAATCTGTTAAATGAGAATATCGCGGGCCGGTACAACCGCGGGCTGCAGTACTCGTCCTACTGACTCAGTCCAAGGTCAACAAGTCAAAGGCTATTTAACAATTTATTGCAAACATTTCACACACTCTAGGGGCGTAGAAATCAATAGGGAAATAAAGCTATTCATCTCACTCATGACAAAGGCCACCAAGACAAAAAATTAAAAACATGTTCTTCACCAATTAAAAACATGTTTTCCGAACAGCAATCAACTTCCTAGTACACTATCTTAAAAAATTAATGTGATCTAAGCAATATTTTATATCAACACGCAGTTTGTGACACATATTTGTACCACATTGCAGAAATTTATTCATTTGAAAAAATTCAACTGGTGACATATTATCATATATGTCCACCACTCCACCTTAATAGTCATAGCGCTGACTAAAATTGAAAGCCTTATATGTGTCCAGTTGGATGAATGAGTTTCATGCAATAAAAACACAATTTAGAAAGACGACGTACGTACAGCTGGTGCTGGACGATGATACGTACAGCTGGTGCTGGACGCTACAGGACCGCACCTCAATGATACGTACAGCTGGTGCTGGACGCTACAGGATACCGCACCTCAATGATACGTACAGCTGGTGCTGGACGCTACAGGACCGCACCTCAATGATACGTACAGCTGGTGCTGGACGCTACAGGACCGCACCTCAATGATACGTACAGCTGGTGCTGGACGATATAGTGTAAAGGCTTCTAACTTCTACTAGCTATGCTAGGCACCCCCCACCGGCGCGTGTTGTATTGAAACTGATGTCATCTTTCTCATTTCTCATAATATTTTTAACTGATAAAAGTAACAAGATTGGTAATCTTTATGATAAAAAATTCTAAAGCGTAAGTTAATCATTGGATTATTGTGGATATCGAAAGCATGCGTCGCCGTCGAGGCACCGTTAAAAGACAAAAGTATCTTTTTGTGTTATTGTTGTTGATGTTTATATGTTTATTGAGGATGTGGGGTTGTCCCCCATGTCCCTCACGGCTCAAGTTATCACTAAGTATTTACTTTTTATTTATTTTATGGGAGTACTAGAAACTGATCCATGAGGTACTAAATAAGGTTTAATTCGTGCCTAACCACTCTGAAAATTTCAGTAGAACGTGGTAAAGGGAACAGTGAAAATTCCGTTATTGTTGTTGACGCTCTTCCGGATCCATTCTCATTCTGTGCCACCGGAATTATTTCACTTGCGGATGGTTTTTCCGTCAATTATTTTTCAATTATCAACTCCTTGAGTGCGACACGATCCATCAGTAGATTGCAGGGGTTTTTTCCGGACAAATTCAGCGATTTAGTTATTAGCGCATTTTCTCATTTATGGAAAAAATGCACTATTGTGCTCGCCATGTCCGTCTGTCTGTCTGCCCGTCCGTCCGTCCATCTGTCCGTACGTGACTTCACGTTTTCGTCGACGAGAAAATGCGCTCTCTTTCACTCACTGCAGTGAGTACTGAGTTATATATTTTTTAATTGCATCTGTCGAAAAATTTATAATGGCAGGACTATATCATAAAATTTTAAAAATTACGGAAAAAAATTAAATTTTTGCATCAGAACCTACAAATATACTAGTATATTTTTAGTTATAGGCTTTTATATCCGCGGACTTTGCCGTTTTTAGGCCATCTTGCAGCGCTGGTGGGTCGTGCCGAACTCAATGTGTTAAAATATGAGATTAGCTTGTTCAATGGCACTCTTATATATGTTACGATGATTTTCTAATTTTTAGTACACATTATATTAATGTTTATGTAATGCTTATCAGCCTTCTTTAACACACGGTTGACTCTCCGCTAACAATAACAATAATTTAACAACTGAAAAATAAAAATATCTTGTTGGCTTCCAACGATAAAAATTAAAAGATGTTACATTTATATGAGTCCAATTGATGAGTGCCACAACACCATTCAAAAGTCTCATCACTTGGGTGGAGGGAAATCAAAACTTTCAACTGTGTTATTAGTTTATTGCATGCTTGTAAGCCTATGAGCTGGACAGTGTCTTTGAACAAATAAGTTTGGCAAAAATAAACTTTTAATTTTCTGCATTTGAAATATATTCTTCGCTTAGACTAAATTCAAAATTCATATCTTCCCTGACGAAGTCTCATCCAAAATCGCTTTGACCAACTGTCCTGCAAGCTCAGATCTGGCCTGAGTACCAGAGCCTGTCTTTAGTATTTCCATTGTAAGTTCCTATTAGGTGGGTTCCATGCAGTCCGCTTGCGTCTCTCTTGTGCTGTTCTGAGCACCAGCGTCTGATTTCGGTTGATTATCAGCGTCTGATTTCGGTTCTTCTGTTGCTGGTTCCTGACCAGGTTCAACCTGGTCATCTGTCCCAGTCTGTCCAGATCCTGTTCCGCTAGCCCGAATTGCGGCGTTGAGTTGTGTCGTATGGTGACGAGTAGTACAATGGGTGTCTGCGAGGGGGCCCGGTAAACAACTGTCCCTTACTGGAGGATTCGAACTCCCACGGACGCCTACAGATAGGTTCTAGACCACATCTTACATCCCATTTAGGTGTAGTAGGATATTTCGCATTAGGCCCCGACCCATACTGTGGAATATTGCATCTGTTAACGACCACCTCGCAATGTGGCCCCCACTGCGATGGCTTCGTGTTGCGAGGAGCACCATTCCTCTTATGTCGCTCATTAGCGCCGGTCTCATTATGTGTGAGCTGGCTGGCTGCTGCAGCAGAACTGTTGCCTGTGTTGTTGTCTGCGCCAGCCTGTCTTGTCTGACTATCTTTTGCTTGACCAGACGCACCAGCCTGACCAGGTTTTAACTGACCAGGTTTGGTCGGGTCGCTGACCACGCCTCTTGTGTGCCTTGCGTCCATCTGACCAGGTCCGTTGCCTTCGTCAGCCTTACCAAGGCTTTCGCCTTGATCGTGGTGGTTGTCGAGGTGGGTTTGGTTACTGAAAGCCAAATCTTCGTGTTGGGGGTCGGGGGTGTCGGATGGGGGAACGTGGGGCTTGGCGGCGGCGCTCCCCAGCAGCGCCAGCGTCACCAGGACCCCAAGGGCCGCCCTCTGCAGTTGGGTTTTCATTTCTGACGAGAAACGTCAAGACATTTGATGAAAAATTATTCGAAAAATTCTAACAAATTTATTTGCATGATACAAAAAATGTTAACTGAATTTTCATGTAATTTATGTAAAGTAATTGATTTATGCTCGGAAAATAATAATAACAAAACTTATTTTCACCTAGGAAGAGTTCTATATATTATCAATTTCATACTATTTACTAAAAATCTGTCATTATTAATAACTTTGTAGCTGAAAATCTATGCATATAGCCACTAAATTTGTCGTCAATCCATGCTTTCCATTTGTGTTTTGTTATATTCAGAATGCCAGGATGGAATTCAAGTCCATGAGACAAGCAAAGCAGTCGGTACTTACGGCGCGTGTTGTGACGAAGAGCAAGAAGGAAGACGAGCGCACCTCAACGTCTGCGCCGCGACTGACTGCCGTGACTGCGGTTGCCGGCTTTATATACTCGACCCCGCGCACGCACACGCGCTTCGTTCGCATCACCGCCACGTACACGCGTGGCCGCACGTACACACCATAAAACTAAAATTCTTATACAGATGCACGCACACGATACATAACGTGCGCAAGAGTTCTTCGTGCATAATCAATGCACACATATGCATGCGTACATGTAGCGTCCTAGCGCAACGCAGATTACGTACATTCCTGTAGGACACGTGCGCGCGCGTAGGGCACATAAATGAAAGTTCGACACGTACACGAACCTACGCACGAGCACACACAATAGTAGGGTTGTAAACAGGGTTAACCCTTAAATGCACCGTGTATCAAAAATGATACAAACCGAATTTTCGCCTATAAATGCTAAGGTAATCAGGCTACTTGCCCGCGGCACATCTAGTATCAAGTACGATACATACGCAATGGAACGAGAACGAAACGAGATACATCGGTGTTGTGTTGTGCGGTAAACATGAACGCCAGTGAGCGACAAGGCGTGGTCGGTGGAAGTGTGCGGAAGCCCCATATTTCTTGGTTCATTCTGTCTTCTACGTTTCTCTCAGAGTAAGAAAAAAATAAACCCTATTTCTTTATGTTGTCATGATTATTGGGAAGCCTTCAATAAGTCTTTTCAAGTATTTGTTTTCGTTCAATAAGAGAAAATGTCGTTGTATCATTTCTGATACAAGGCGCATATGGGCAACTTTTCTGCATCGTATGTATGTGTATCATTAATGATACAACACGGTAGTTTTCTGTCATTTTATGTTTTTTCATGCATTCAAATAGGTATGTTTAGTTATTATATATTTAGCAAAATGTATTCCTCATCAGATTAGCAGTTATGCATCTTCCAAATGCGTAATGTATGTAATAAATGTTGTTTCACCAGGTGATGCCGCATTATTTGTCTGAGAAGGAATTACTGGAGGCTCTCTTTTTCGATGTAAGTGACGATGACGAAACTTCTAGTGATGCTGACAACATCAATAACCCATTAGCCGCATATATCTGTGATATGGACTCTCTTGAATCATATTCCGGAGGTGAGAAAGTTATTTCTTTTGCGTTCGGCAAAAAGCCAAAAATAAGGGCAAGTCTGCAAGCATGACGTCAGTTACTTACTTACGCAATCCGTATATATTCATTTGATACAACCAAGTCATAGATTTTTATTCTATTTTACAGTAACGG